CTCAGCCAGTGTAGTGGTGGGAGCACAGTCTCAACCCTGGGGGAGGGCGGAGGTGTGCATTGTCCAAATATACTCAGATGCTGAGGTGCCCAGCTGGGTCCACTTTTTTTCCCGTGTCCCCTCAAGGGCTGCCTAGTGAGTTGCTGTCCCAGTGTGGAAAGGACCTAATGTTTAGGGGCCTTCACCAGATGAACGACAAATGCCTCCTCATCTTGCCTTCGTAACCGGTGAAGGAGAGATGCCAGGGGGTTAATGAGAAATCTTTGACCTCTCTTTTCAAAGTAAGCTCAGGGGCACGTGGGTGGCTCCTTCGGTTGAGCGTCCGACTCTTGATTTCAGCTCAGGTCATGATCTCGCGGTTCATGAGAACATGACAGGCTCACAGTGCAGAGCCTGCTTGGGGTTCTCTCTCTCCCTCTCTCTGCCCTGTCCCCCCTGCTTTCCCTCTCTCTCAAAATAAATAAGCATTAAAACAACAACGACAACAAAGTAAGCTCAATGTCCAAGTTTATAATACAAAGATATACTGGAAATATATAGAAGTCTAAAAACATGCTATATATAAATTAAAATGTCAAAGAATTCTGCCAGCGATCACGTGTTTTCTACTAAGATATCAAATCCTGGTGCGTATCCTCTGAGGAGGCTGCCTGCCCATCCTTCCTGGAGCGGGTATGAGGCCCTGTACGAGAAGGAGACCGGGCGACACCAGAAGATTCCCCGAGCCTCAGAAACGGATGCGAGTTATCTCAGCTGTCCACGGTGGGTTTCTCCATTCATAAAAAGACAGTCGTGTACTGCTCACAGGCAGTCGGGAGATTCGGGGGACCCGGGGAGAGGACAGTGAAGCCCATGTGACAGCCATATCTCAACTTGCAAAAACCAGCCTAAGCCCCTCAGCAGCTTTTCTTGCATGTTCGTTAACAAAACATGCACGGTTAATAAGAACAAGATGCTTAAAACAATATTTATAGGCTTGAACATTTTCAAAATAGAGTTAAATACGTGACAATAGCTATGTATGAATATATGAGCTAAAATGAGCTGATGAGCTAATATCTAGCTAGTAAGTAGCAATCAGTTCACAAATATTTGGGGATACCTCATAGCTCCGCTCCCTTCAAACTCCATCTGGCATGTTATATTTGCTCCCACTCTGATGTTCCTTCCCTCTGCATGTATAAATACTTTCCTTTCAATATTTGGATTAGTGGTGTATACACTTGTGAGCCTTTTAACAAATCATCATTAGCATTGTTCTGTGTTATTTTTTCACATAATATTTTATTGGCTGTGAAATATTCCATCATCTAAATGTGCCATCATTATTTAATTAGTCCCAGCTGGCAAACCGTTAAGTCAGTTCTGATTTTTCATTGTCGTAATTAACCTATGGCAAACACATGAAAAATGCTATACACATTTTCTGGCAAATTCCTCAGGATAACTTCTTTTTTTTAAAAAAAGTTATTTATTTATTTTGAGAGCGAGAGAGAGAGAGAGAGGCAGGGAGGGCAGAGAGAGGGGGAAAGAGAGAGAATCTCAAGCAGGCTCCACACTGTCAATGCAGAGCCCATTGTGGGACTCAGGCTCAAGAACCATGAGATCATGACCTGAGCCAAAATCAAGACTTGGACACTTAATCAACCGAGCCACCCAGGTGCCCCAACAAAGGATACATTCTTAACAAGTAGAATGTTTGGGTCAAAAGGCATGAATGGCCTTTTGATAGGTATTTGCCAAACCAATTCACGCCTCTCTCAATGATTATTAAGGGCTTTATTCTTCCTTTGTCACTTAAAAAAAGAAAAAAGGAAAGGAAAGGGAAGGAAAGGAAACCTTTACCAATCTGAAAGACAATAAGTGGTAGAAAATATCTACCAGAATTTTCTGTTTTAATAAGTGCAACATTTGGAACATAAGCGAGTCTTGACAGAGCTAAGTAGTGATTCTGAATATTAGCTTTTTATGTACTGCCCTGTAGAGATGACCCAATGACTGTAGGATAAAGGTCATACTTGAAGAAAGCTTCGGGCCTCAGAACAAACCCTATGTTTATGAGTTCGAAGGGAGGAGGCTTGGACTCTGGGTCTAACCAGTCGTCTTTCTTTAGGCTAGTGTTACATTCTCAGTAATTCACTTCAGATACGTCAGAGGAGCCGTAGGATGCTGATCTGTGCGCAAGTTGACTTGAGTTTGTGCCCTGAGGCTTCTCCCTCTAAAGGCCATTATTGGCAAGCACTTCAAATGTGGCCTTCTAAATCAGTACCAGAGGGTTGATGAATTAGTATACTAAATGTTGGAAATAATTTTTCACTGATGAAACAAATGAGTAACAAGCAAGATACGAGGCTGATAAATAAGATTGAACAAGTGTCTCTCTGCCTTTCTTAATGTTTTGTTATCGGGGCGCCTGGGTGGCTCCGTCGATTAAGCATCTGACTTCGGCTCAGGTCATGATCTTTCGGTTCGGTGAGGTCGAGTCCTGCGTGGGGTCTCTGTGCTGACAGCTCGGATCCTGGAGCCTGCTTCGGATTCTGTGTCTTTACCTCTCTCTCTGCCCCTCCCCCACTCGTGCTCTGTCTCTCTTGCTCTCAAAACTAAATAACACATAAAAAAAATAAGTAAATGTTTTGTTATTTATTTATTTTACTTTAATTCCGGAGTAGTTAACACACACTGTTATATTCATAGCAGGAGTACAATACAGTGATTCAACAACTCTATGCATCTCTCCGCCTTTTTTTGAACAATGTTAAGAAGTAAGCTTGGTCGTATAACATTGCTGGAGTAGTGATTGGTCTAGAACTCCATCTGTTCCCGAATTGTCCACCTAACTAAGGATTTGGTTGTGTGATCTGGCTAGAACTGTGGCTGATTATGTCATTGTAACATAGGTGTGCTTGTAGCAGAGAGAAACTTTCCCGTGAAGGTTCCCGCACAGTGCCCCAGTGGTTGGCGAGGACGGGACTCCACTGACCTTCCAGAAACGTAGTTTGGACTTTTGTGCCTGCTTGGTGACATGGCAGAATTCAATCTGAGACTCGCTTTCCTTGTAACATACCTCCTGGTGGTATGGCCACAGGGAGAGACAACCCACCACTTCTTTTTTTTTTTTTTCTTAATGTTTATTTATTTTTGAGAGAGAGAGAGAGAGAGACGGAGAACAAGCAGGGGAGGGGCAGAGAGAGACAGAGTCACAGAATCTGAAACAGGCTCCAGGCTCTGAGCCGTCAGCCCCGAGCCGCCGGGGCTCAAACTCACCAGCTGCGAGTTCATGACCTGAGCTGAAGTCAGACGCTTAACCCACTGAGCCACCCAGGCGCCCCAAGACTTTAGAGTTTTGTAACGTACACATTCTTTCCCCCTTATCTATAGCAATCAGCACAACATCCAAATGAACAGTAACCCTTTAAAGGACCTACCTGCTGTTGGGCAGGGTGCTAGGTAGGGTGGCATAGCACATCTCCATGTTCCTGAGAGATAGCAGTTACCCTTCAGATATCAGGGAAGGGGAGACAGGTGGGAGATGAGCCTCAGGAGATGATAGGACACAGGGAGGCAGCTCTAGAAGGAGAGGAAAGCTGGCTGAAGCCCAGGCCTGTAAGCAAGGGGGCAAGGAGTAAGAAGCAAGGAGAAGGTCTGGCACTTCAAAGGCTGGGGGTGGGGGTGGGGGTGGGGGGGGTGGTTCCAGAACAACCAAGAAGGGCCAAAGAACTAGTAGGGATGTGAGTTCTCTAGGAACTCTTCGAGAGTGTCTTTTGCTCACAGTGGCCCAAAAAAGGTACACCAAGACTTGTGAGGACCTCAGGGAACAATGGGTGGGTGGGGATAGGGGAGAGGAAATAAATAAAGGGAGGCCCCGTAGCAAGCTTTACCTGCTTTAGCAATTTTGCCTTGGGCAGAGTCTTCCTGCCCGCAATTTTAACCTCATGTCGTCGCAATGCTAGGGAGAGAGGAAGCCAACCAGTTTCTCCGCACTGTCTCCTAACCCATCTCTTCCCCCAAAGCCCTCATCTAAGTGTAGAAAGAAGCTGGTTTGTTTGGTGGAAGTTTTACGATCTCAATTAACTACCGAGTTCCATGACAGGTTGAAAACCGTGAGATAAATTGAATAAGCTTCACGGGGCTCCTCATTAGGGCCAAGGGCTGACACTGCCATGAAATCAACATAGAACTTAGGTGGGGTTCGTAACCAGGGAAATGAGGTTTGCTTCAAACAAACCACCATGCTCGTAGAAGACAAATGGACTATGGGCAGATCCATTACCAAGAAGTGTCCTGGTTACGTAATGACACTTACACACATCAAACAAAGCACAATGGTGCTTTCCCCAGCCCTGGCCGTGTAACTGTCCTTTCTCTATGAGTAAAATATCCACTCATCCCGTCTGCCCCGTAGACAGGAAGGGAGGCAGAGAGTGGAGCGGAGCAATTACTTTGGAACCGGCTCCCCAAGTTAGAGGATCTCTCTACTCAGAGATCCTCAAGAGACAGATAGCCATCTGGGTCTGTGTGGTTTAACATCCACTGACTTCACAGATTTTTCTTTTTTCAATTTTTTTAATGCTTATTTTTGAGAGAGAGAGTGTGAGCAGGGTAGGGGCAGAGAGAGAAGAAGACACAGAATCTGAAGCAGGCTCCAGGCTCTAAGCTGCCAGCACAGAGCCGGAAGTGAGGCTCGAACTTACGAACTGTGAGGTCATGACCTGAGCCGGAGTTGGACGCTTAACCGACTGAGCCCCCACCAGCGCCCCGACTTGATAGATTTTTAAGATGCCTTCTAGCACTTTGATTTTGTGACCCTGATCTCTAAGGGAAATGTGAGATGCACAGACCTCCTTTCTAATTTGATGTGATGCTAGATTGCAAAGTCATAGCTGATGTTGGACACACAGCCTTATGTGCCTACTGCCACGAGTTTTCAAAATCCCAGACCGAAGTGTAGCTGTTGGTATTGAGATCGGCTTTAATTTCTCTCCCCTTCTATCCAATCACAGGTAATCTTTAGATGGTGGAAGATCTCTCTGAGGAGTGAGCATCGATCAGCAAAGCCTGGAGAAGCAAAAGACACTCACGAAGAGTTCCTAGAGAACTCCCACCTCCAAGGTCAGAAAGGGAGCACATTGTATATACTTACTGCTAAGTTCTCTTTACAATAGTGATAGATTTTCTTGCAGAAATATCCAACATATCATCATTTGAACTATTGATATGTAATTATGTACTTAAAGACAGAAAATTGTTAACATACCTTGAAATTTCTCTTGGGAAAAATCCCCCAAGTGTTTAAGGTTCTATAGGTTAACGTGTTCATTCCACTAATAATCTCAAATTGCGTAAATGTAATTTTTTGCTGTATCATTTAATTATAATAGGTTTCCTTTAGTTAAAAATGAATTAAAAGCTTATGTGAAAATGTAATCAAATTCTCAAATCCTTGAATGTTTATGCATTTTGCATTTAAAATTGCTACCATTTTTTTTCATTTTTCAGTTTTATTTTTTACATTTTTATTAATGATTTATTTTTTATTTTTTAATTTTTTTTTAACGTTTATTTATTTTTGAGACAGAGAGAGACAGAGCATGAAGGGGGGAGGGGCAGAGAGAGAAGGAGACACAGAATCGGAAGCAGGCTCCAGGCTCTGAGCCATCAGCCCAGAGCCTGACGTGGGGCTCGAACTCACGGACCGTAAGATCGTGACCTGAGCTGAAGTTGGACGCTTAACCGACTGCGCCACCCAGGCGCCCCAATGATTTATTTTTTAATTTGCATCCAGGTTAGTTAGCATATGGTGCAACAATGTTTTTAGGAGTAGATTCCTTAATGCCTCTTACCTATTTAGCCCATCCCCCCTCCTACAACCCCTCTAGCAACCCTCTGTTTGTTCTCTATGTTTAAGAGTCTCTTCTGTTTTGTCCCCCTCCCTGTTTTTATATTATTTTTGCTTCCTTTCCGTTATGTTCATCTGTTTTGTCTCTTAAAGTCCTCATATGAGTGAAGTCATATGATAGTTGTCTTTCTCTAATTTCGCTTAGCATAATACCCTCTAGTTCCATCCACGTAGTTGCAAATGGCAAGATTTCAATCTTTTTGATTGCCGAGTAATACTTCATCATATATATATATACCACACCTTCTTTATCCATTCATCCATTGATGGACATTTGGGCTCTTTCCATACTTCATCTATCGTCGATAGTGCTGCTATGAACATTGAGGTGTATGTGCCCCTTCAAAACAGCACACCTGTATCTCTTGCTACCATTTTTTTAAATATCAAAGTTTGCTTCAAGAAATAACCTTGGGGTGCCTGGGTGGCTCAGTCAGTTGAGTGTCCAACTTCGGCTCAGGTGATGATCTCACAGCCCTTGAATTTGAGCCCTGCGTTGGGCTCACTGCTGTCAGTGCAGAGCCTTCTTCGGATCCTCTGTCTCCCTCTCTCTCTGCCTCCCCCCCCCCCCAATAAATAAACATTAAAAAAAGAAAAAAAAAGAAAAGAAAAAGAAATAGCCTTAATTAGGTAGCATGTGGACTAAATAGAAATTGCCCTGAGTTTCCCCTTTGCTGTTTTGCTTTTCACAGTATGAAAATTTCAAATACAAATCAAACAATGGTTTTTAACAAACTCTCATGTACCCATAACCTGGCTTCAATAATACTCAAAATATAGCCAACCTCTACACAAAGCCACTGTTCCCACTGAATTCGTTTGCAGCAAATCTCAATTGTTACGTCATTTTATCCCAAACTACTTGAGTAGGTGTCTTTAAAAAGGATTCCTTTTAACTAAACTCCCTAATAATAATTTCCTTTAATTATAAAAATTTAAAGCTAGAAGGCATTATAGAGATTTTTATTTCATTAGGAGTTAATATCAAGGACCTTTTACATATGCATTCTCATTTTATTGTTACAATATCCTTGTGAAATCACGAGTATTATCCCCATTTCACGGACGAGACTCAGAATGCTATGGTTTTCCAGGGCTCCACAGCTAACCTCAGACATTGCCAGGACTAAGCACTGAGAGCCAAAAAAGTCAAGTATATCAATCTTATTTTTAAAGACACCTTCTGGGTGGATCTTTGATAATCAACCCTCTTAAAGATATTCTATATTTAAATTATAACGTGTAAGAGTTGTTGTTTTAGACAGAGAGTAGGTTTTGTCTTGTTTTGTTTCGTTAAATCTTTGAAAGTCTGGATTGATTGCCTTCAATTTCTGATATTGCATACATCTTTCTTTGTTAACCTCTTTACAGCAGGTATTTATAAAATGCATTAGTGGTTTAAAAAGAATCATGTTGGGGAAAGACTGTCCACTTTTTTTTTAAATTTCTTTCTTTTTTTTAATGTTAATTTATTTTTGAGAGAGAGAGAGAGAGAGAGAGAGAGAGAGAGAGAGAGACAGAGCACGAGCAGGGGAGGAGAAGCAAGAGAGAGGGAAACACAGAATCCGAAGTAGGCTCCAGACTCTGAGCTGTCAGCACAGAGACTGATGCAGGTCTGGAACTCGCTAACTGTGAGATTATGACCTGAGCCGAAGTCAGCTGCTTAACCAACTGAGCCACCCAGGCGCCACCCCAGACTGGTAATTTTAAGACGGTTTTTCAAGCTCAGGGACCATGTCTTATTAATCATTACCTTTTCTTTTTTACATTAAAAAAAAAGTTTATTTTTGAGAGAGAGAGAGAGACAGAGCATGAGCAGGGGAGGGGCAGAAAGAGAGGGAGACAGAATCCGAAGCAGCCTCCAGGCTCTGAGCTATCAGCACCAAGCCCAACTTGGGGCTGGAACCCAAATGCCAAGAGATCATGACCTGAGCCAAAGTCGGACACCCAACTGACTGAGCCACCCAGGCATCCCTCTCAAGATCTTTAATCACACCTGCAGAGGCCCTTTTGCCATATAAGGTCACATATTCACAGCTTCTGGAGATGAGGATACAGGGCATCTTTGGCAGGGCCATTATGCTGCCTACCACAGTGATATGTGTCACAATCTAAATTGCAAAATAAAAAACATTGCCGAACGT